TTTTTCATGCTCATCATGTTGCTTGGATTGGCTGCTTTACTTAGCCTTTTGAAGAGTGATCTTTGCTGATATAGCCTAGAAGCAATAATTCTGAATGTTCATTCAGTTTTTTAACAAAACAAATGATGACATGGTTTAATCTAGATCTAAAACAAGTTCCTATCTTTCGTTATATAAATCAGATTTCCCGCGATGATCGAAAACGAAAGTAGAGATGTGCCACTTGGCTTGGTCAATCGAGTGATTTCTATTGACTTTATTAATAAAATTGTGAGCTTCAGTGCTTTTAAAGACGATGTCAAATGTTTTCATCTAATTCTTAAATGCTGTATCTCCTTTTTCATGGCAGGGATGTTGATTAATTTATCGTAACCAATGTAATCACTGGTAGTCTTGTGTTGTTGTCGTTGTCAAATCCGTGCTTGAAATCTATGTACAAAAAAAGCGTTTATATGATTCCGAGTCAAATCACGCGATATCTAGCGAGATTTTATGAGAGTGGCTTCAAAAATGGATACCCAAGCGAACCAAAAATACTTTAGACGCAGCTTTTGTAGAAAAGCGGTAGATTTCTGAATTAAATCGGTAGGCGGGAGATGGAGTGAAAAAGCGGTAGACTCCCGCCTAAATCGGGAGAGTTAACATGTATGCATTTGATATTGTTGACAAGTTACAGTTGACTTTACAAAACCGTTTGTTTTTTGTAATTAAACACTGTAAGCCTTTCAATGTTCATCAACCTTTTGTTGAATTTGACAAATGAAAAATCACTTTAAAAATAATTTAAGATTTTCAAAGTGAACTGTTAATGACAATTATACATGTTAAGAAATCTTGCAGGACAAAATTTTAAGTAAATTTCCTTTTTGTATAACAATCTTAAAAAGGAATGATGACATTTACATTGTATCTCAGTGTTTTATCTTCTTATCTTAATAAATTTTATTGCATTTCATTTTATTGATTTTTGTTACCTTTCAGTTCCAGTGTTCTTATTGCTTGTCACTTTGATTCTGATTCATAAATTTATTTTCTCAAGTAAAAACTCTGTTTTTATGTATCTTTACCAATAAAACTAAATTTTAACATGATGTAAAATTGTTAGAGTATCTATCATTTTTTTGGTGAAACTTATTTTGCTTTCATTTTATATTTAGTTGAACAAGAAATGCTCTGTATCCCCTGGACAATTTACGCTGAAGCATGCTCAAAAGATGGAGAAAAGATTGAAAAATCAGCGCCTTCGTCAGAGTTTATTTACTTCCAAAAGGCGACGACTGGAACTCAAGTCTTTGAGGGCAATGAAAAACTCCACACAGTCTGTATTAGAAGGTATATACAATGATGCTAACTTGTAATTAGTACCAGTTTTAATATAACCTTACACAGTTGTACAAAACTCTTTTGAAAATGAGTAAAACATTAGTTATTCTGTTGCATACAAGTGTCATTGTGTCTGCAGGTGATACATACCAGTCAAAGATTGGCATTGAAGAAGATTTAGATCTTGAGGACATTGATCTCACTCCAGTATCTTTTCCAAAGGATGGTAGTGAAATTATTTTTGACTTGGAAACTACTGGTCTGGGTAAGTTCATTGTATATGCTAATGTACTTGTTACTTATCATTTACTTAGAGTAAGGTACTATTGAAGTAACCATTTCATTTATTAATTGATATTCCAGAACTTAGTATAACGTTTCTGTCTTTCTTTAATGTCTGACTTTACTTTTTTTTCAGCTCGGACATCTGATATTATTCAGATAGCAGCAGCCTCTGGAGACGAGGAATTCAGTATATATATGACCCCAACGACAGAAATTAGTAATGGAGCTTCTGAGGCCACAGGTTTAACTTATGTTGGAGGTGTCCTGAAACACAGAGGCCAGGCTGTGAGTTGTGTTACTCCCCAGGAAGGACTTTCCCAGTTTCTAAATTTCATCAAGAAGTTTTCAAAGCCAATTCTGGTGGGACATAACATTCAGAGTTTTGATTTGCCAGTCTTAATAAACCAACTGTCTAGATATAATTTATATACAGATTTCCAGAAAACAGTGTTTGGATTCATTGACACATTAAAGGTAGCAAAGAGAACATGGAAAAGGCCTGAAGTTGAGAACTACAAGCAAGAAACATTGGTCAGAACTTTTCTGGACTTGAAATATGATGCTCATAATGCTTTGGCAGATGTACAATCCCTGCAAAGGTTGTATAAGAAGATGATGGCAAACTGTCTTCTTTCAAGTGATCTATTTACTCTTAATTACTATGCATGTAAGCAATCACTTGACCCTTTAGTGAAAGACAAAGTAATTTCAAGCCAAACAATGAAGAAACTTCTTCAGTGCTCACTCAGTTTGTCCAAACTTAGAAGTATTCATAAACGTGATACCTTTAATGGAATTAGAAATGTGTTTGTGGAGCAATGTGAAGGGTCAAAGGTCCCCAGAATCTCCAAGTCTAAGGCAGTTATTGACAAACTCATTACATATCTGAATACATGATAGGTTTATGTATATGACTAGTATAATAGTATAACATCACATGTTAAAACAGTATATGTCTTGGTGTTAAGGTTTTTCTTTTCACAGGTGAGCAATTTAGGCCATGGGCCTCTATATTTCATTATTTAAGGTGTAGAATTAAATAAGATGATTTACCTTGTCTCTATAATAGAATACTGAACCACAGAAACTTTTTTAACGACCTACTTCAAAATGTAATGAAATTTAAAGAATTTTTGTGTGGGGGTGGGGGTGTAAAAATGCTTGTACTGAATTTATTAATATGGAAAGGTGTCATTTTTTTCAATTAATTAGATTCTCAAATACAATATTACTTAATTTGTAAACCATTTTTTGGATTGAAACCATCAATTTGAAATTATAAGAGATTCTTTCGAGAAAAATATGTAAAATTAAAGCCAATTTTAACAGGGATAGAAGATGAAAAGTCATGTAAATGGATATATGTTATTTTTAATGATAACAATGATAATTTTTATGTAATTGCAAATGATTTGTCATTCATTGGTGGTTCATACATTCATATATTGTCAAATATATTCATGAAATATTCATAATAAAATTCTACTCTGAGTTTTGAGTGAATTGCATTTGGGTTACATATACATCAAGTGTTGAACTTCAGAATTAGTATGGAAAAGGGCTACTTTTTGGGATTATTTGGACACTTACATGTGTGACTTGTAAAATATACTGACAAATTTAAGTTTGAACCCATAAATACACAAGTATGGATATACCTTAATTCTCGATAAACCGCCACCTTTTGTAATTTAGAAATCATGGCGGTATAACGAATTTGGCGATGAATTGAATTTCCCATCGTTTAGGAAACCAGAAGTAGAGTTACCGTTCTTAGAAATACAATTTAGCGTTTCTATTCTCATTATTACATGTACATGTACATATTAAAACATATTTCTAAGTTTTAAAATACTTCAAGTAATTTTTTATGTACAATTTCGCTAAAACAAAATGTGCAGTTATGAAATAAAGACAAGCACATGTGGATGCATGTAAATCTGCACGACTGATATTAAAAAAAATGCTGGGTCGATCGTCGTGATATATTGCCGATAATATGTAAAATGAATTCTTGAATAAATTCATTGTTTAAGGCATCATTGTTAATAAAACGTTCACAATTTATACCGTATAATTATTCTTTAAGCAAATTTTGCATTGTTTAAAGCAGAGATCATCAAAATAATATCGTTATCTGTGTTCTTAAACAACGACCGCCTTCGTGGCAAAGCCGTCACTAAATGATTTTTATTAAACAGAAAACAAAATTATCATAACAGTTCATGTTAAAATCATTGTTTATTTAATTCTTATTTAATTATTTAATTGCATGTACCTTGCCTAGCTTTGCATGCTTTACAACAGGGATAGTGTCAACCAATTAGCCGCGCTTCACTGACCACATGCACCTGTGGCGGTATATCGAGATAATTGACACTTAAAAATGGACGTTTGTTGTGAAAACAGGGTGGCGGATGGCGGTATGCGAATTTGGCGTTATAAAGAGAATTTTATATAGCAGGAAAAACGTTCTTGGCAAATCATGGCGGTATAGCGAAAATGGCGATGAATCGAATGGCGATAATTCGAGAATTGACTGTAACTTCTTTAACATCTGCTTTGGAAAATTATCCCTGTCTGATTTCTCAAGCAATTAAGATTCATGGTTTTCTTATTTTTTTCTTGTCTATTGAAATTGAAATAAAATATACTCTTATGTACATAAAATTCCTCGATCAAAATAATGAACAGAATGTAACTTCTAATGTCTTTTTAGCCTTTTTGTGTATTTGAAAAGAAAACGTCAAAATGTATATATTGATACGAGTAACCGGTTAATCGGTCGGAATGTTTTGGTTCTGGTTCTCTCTCTATGAGAGATTATATTTAAAATGATATACTAGATTACTTTTACATGCATTTCAGTAGTTGCCGATTTGAGCAGTAATGATTAATTATTTCTGTGCTTGAATAATCTGTGTGAGAACACAAGCAATGCTTTGAATGAACTGCTCCTTAAAAACTCTCCTTTTAAGTAATAACATTGAAAAATACACTTTGTATCTCTTAATTTTCCATTTGCTTTGAAATAATTTTTCCAATTTAAATATAATGATGAATATATTTTTTTTATTTAAGCTTAAATTTATGCCACCAGTAAAAAGTGATCAGTTTGATGTACTCAATATAACATTAACTTGATCCAAAGAGTCTATCGTGTTGTTGACGGGTATGGATCGTCAGATCAAACTATACACAAAGTGTCAGGTTTGATCTGATGATCTGCAGCTGTCAACAAAAAGTGATACAGCTCTTCAGATGGTAAGAAATTCTTAAGACTGGGTTTATGCATATGGATATCATAATTCTTTTATTCCCTGCATTATTAAAAAACCCCATATTTTTCAGGAGGCAGTGAAGTTGTGCAGGAAACCTATCATTAATGCAGGGGATGGAGTAGGGGAACATCCAACTCAGGCATTGCTAGATGTGTTTACCATCCGCGAGGAGATAGGGACAGTCAACGGACTGACTGTAAGTTCTACTCCAGAAAAGACTCTCAGTAACAAAGCAAGATAAATGTTTATAAGCTTACTTTCAACATTTTTTAAAGTGATCTCAAACTAAATGATAACTGCAGTGTATATGCAGACATCTACATCGGAATGATGAGAATTTCACAGACCTGTGCTGACAAATTTATATCTGAAGATGGAATAATTTTCTGACCAACTGTAGATGTCCAAACTTAATGATTGAAATGATTTTATCTTAATCATAAGACTGAGAATCAAAAATATCAAATTAATTTTGAATTATGTGTATACACTTAATCTGTGTATGTGTAGATAACTATGGTTGGAGATCTGAAGAATGGCCGCACCGTCCATTCCCTGGCTCGACTTCTGACACAGTACAGGGTCAATATCCGCTACGTGTCTCCGGATTCGCTGAAGATGCCCGATGATGTCAAACAAGACGTGGCAGCAAGAGGGATATCACAGGCAAGCTAGTCCATCTGTTGTTTGTCTAGTTTAAACATTTAGGAAAATTTGTTCCAAAGCTAAGATAGCACTGTAGTTCTACTTATACACGTACTTGTTGGCTATGTAAAATTTTATTCATGGTACAAAAATGTGGAAGAAAAAAACTTGTGTTGTTATTGAGAAAACAAAATCTGTTGAATGATGAAAATTTTCACAGACCTGTCCTGAAATTCTGTGTTGAGGATTTTATCTGATGACAGATTGAATTGTTTTAAAATTCTGAGAACCATTTACTTTCAAGTATTCTTTACAATATATTAGCTGCAGTTCAAGTTTTTGGTTAAGTTCCAATTTTTTAATTTCAAAAGACCCTTCAGGATAACCGTGGTAATATTTTTTGCAGGACAAAAGATTATACAGTAAAATCAATATTTATGTGGCTTTAGGAAAAACTTATTTTATAGAGATTTGATTTTGTGGAGGAAGAATTGTTGAGTAGTTATGGTCTTATTTTAAAGTTAAATAGTAAATCATTCAAGTATTTTTTTAGGAGGAATCGACTGCATTAGAAGATTTCCTGTCTGACACAGATGTTTTATACATGACTCGCATCCAGAAGGAAAGATTCAGCAGTGAGGAAGAATACAAAAAGGTTAGTGTTCATAAGGTCATGTGAGTGCAGAAAGGTGAGCTAAAATTTAATGATCTTAGAATCAATGAAGAATTTTCAAAATAAAGCAAGTTTGATTTCATCTATCAGAATCGTAAGCGGGGATGAATACTGTATGCATGCAATTGTCAGGTAGGTTTTACTGTGTGCATACTTTTAGATAAAACAAATAATTAACACTGGACTTGAATCTCCATTTTCGATTTAACCACGCTTGAAGCAGCATCATTATTTTGCTTTATTTTGCTTGAATTATTGCACATGGATATATAGGTATCAGCATCTTTTGAAATCTATAATATACAGTAGAAACCTTAGCTATTTTGTATTTCTCTTTTGGTTTCTTCATGAAAAATTATATTGTTGATTAGATTTAAAATGCAAACTTAGTTTTTATATACACTTCAATATTTATTGGATTGAGCAGTAATGATTCATTATTCTGTGCTTGAATAATCTGTGTGAGAACACAAGCGATGCTTTGAATGAACTGCTCCATAAAACCTTTCTCCCTTTAAATAATAACACGTAAATATCTCTTATTTTTTTATTTAAAAAAAAATTGCTTGTAAATAGTTTTTCAAACATAAATTTGATTACGAATTTTTACTGAAGCTCAAATTGAGGCCAGCATTTAATATTGACTTGTTTGATGTACTCAAATTGAACCATTGAAATCACCGAATCCCATTTTTTTCCCCAACTAGTTTTTTGTTTGTTTATAGGAGAAAAACAGATATATACTGTTTTTAAAGTTGTTTATCATTTGTCTCGAACATTATTAGATTGGCAGTGTTTACTATAGATATTAAAATCAACATTAATTTGTTTAAATTTGTTATTTTTATGATGTTTATCAATGTATCAGATAATGTTCATTTAGAAAAGAAAACCTACTGACCATGCTTGTAAAATATGAGTTGGCGGGGGTACATCAAACAAAAAAATTTAATGATGGTCTTCAGAAGAAAAGACATACATTTGAAAACAATTCTGGAAAAGTTTAAAATATTGAGAAACTTACTTGAAAAGTTCTATGGTATTAAATATGACAAAGGTTAACCAGTGTATTGTTTTCATTTTATAACAATTGAAATAACATGGTATTGTAGGTATAATTTTAAACATTGTGGTCTTAAATTTTTTTTCTGATTGTAGTGATGTGGTTTGGTTACAAAATAAAGTAGATAATTTTGGAGTTTGAAATTTCACATGCATTTCAAAGTTGATAACTGAAAAATGTTGAATCCCAAATTTTTTTTTAAATGTGTATTTAAAAAAAAATGCATAGAAAATTGACCTTGTGATGATGAACTTTAGAACTGGAGTCTCTGAAAATCATTGTAGACAGTTCTGATCTGATTCAAGGTTTTATAAGAAAATATGAACCCCCCACCCCACCCCTATCCACACAGAATACAGTTTGGAGTGACATGTTAGGTTGAAGTTACATT